AAGAGAGACTCCTGGGTGGAGGGACGGGAAGAATGGTGTGAGCCAAGACCCTGAATCTTTCCAAGCGGAGCAGGCTAAAGCCACTTGGGAGGAGACAGATGAGCTCTGAGTGTGAAATGATAGGAAGATCCCAGCAACACTGGCATGGTGCCTCTTTTTTGATCCCGTCTATCTGTATGCTGTCTTCCTCAGCCCTCTGAGGTGCCACTAGGAGACTCACTAAGTTACACGCAGGCATTATCACTTATTGGTATTTTTCTTGGCCGATTATTGTCCCCATACAGAACACAACTGTTGTCTGCTATATTCCTGGTGCCTAAAGTATTGCCTGGTACATCATAGTGTGGAAAATTACTTGCTAACTGTAGTTATGGATATAACTTAGTGGTAGGCACACACAAGGCCCTAACACCACAGAAGGAAATGTGAACTTAGGAACACATTTTTGGGGGAGGGGTGAACCTCAGGACAGGTTTTCTCTGTACATTTGGAGCCTGTTCTGGAACTTACCCTGTAGACCAGGCTGGCCTTGAACTCACAGAAATCCACCTATCTCTGCCTCCCCGAGTGCTGGGATTAAAGGTGTGCACCACCACTGCATGTCAAGAACACAAGTATTTAGGGGAGGCCACAGCAGCAGGGACAGTTAGTTGTTTGATGTCGAGCAGTGTCACTGCGGAATCAATCTGGGTCAACAACACCTAATACATATGTGATGCTTGCCAGGCACCAGACTCTATTCCAGCTCTTTGGAAATTTTAAATTCAGAAATTTATCCGAAATTGACTAAAAACATCACTGCTCACAGACATGAGGACAGAGTTAATTTGTCCAGCTGCAGACCTAGTAAGGAGGTAGGACTGGGGGCGGGGCCTAGGGCTGTGCTTTTTTGAGACAGGGTCTCCTGTAGCCCAGGCTGTCCTTGAACTTCTGACCCTCTTGCACCTCCTTCCTAAGTGCTGGTATTACAGGTGTGTGCTGCCTCTGGTGGTTTTGTGTGGCTCTGGGGATTGATCCTGGTTTGTCTGTTTGTTTGTTTGAGACTGGGTTTCCCTGTAGCTTTGGAGCCTGTCTTGGAACCAGCTCTTATAGACCAGGCTGGCCTCGAACTCACAGAAATCTGTCTGCCTCTGCCTCTCGAGTGCTGGAATTAAAGGCGTGCGCCACCACCACCCGGCTGATCTTGGTTTTGTGTGTGCCAGGCAGGCGCTTAACGACTGAGCTACCTCCCCAGCCCATCTCTACCTGATTTTTTTGAGCAGGGTTTCTGTAATTGAATCTCGCCTTTTATAGACAGGCTGGGTAGTAGAGGCCAGGGATCCCCCTGTGTCTGCTCCCTCCACCCACAACCACCCTGGCTCTAGGATCACAGGAATGTGCCAGCCCATGCTTCTGACAGGGATGTTTGGGATCTGAACTTGAACCCTCAAGTTTCTGCAGCAAGCACTTTGTCCACTGAGTCGTCTTATTATTCCAAGGTAAGTGGACTGAAGACCAAAAGGCAGAAGAATAATGACATTTCTAGGTCAGTTTCCCCACGTTAAAGACCCTGCCTTTTATTTACTGTGCTTGTCTCGCTTAGTTCCAGCATCTGATAGCACATCTCAGCATTCTTCTTTTTGAGATGGCCTTGTTAGGTATCCCAGGTTAGCCTGGAAATTGGGTTTCTGTCTCTGCCTTCTGAGCTTTATGGGTGTGTTTCTTCACATCTGGATTTCAGCAAATACTAATTGAAAAAATCAGTTATACCACATAAAATACAAAAGACCTAGGTACAGTCGCTGATGCCTGTAACCACAGCATTTGAAAGGCTGAAGCGGGAGAATTACCATGAATTTGAGGTCTGAATTTATAACATGAGTTACTGGGTTCCAGATCAGGCTGAGCTACAAAAATAGACCCTATCTGAAAGCAGGAATAAATAAGATTCAAAACAACCAGTTATGGTGGCATATATCTGTAATCCCAGTTCTTTTTGAGGATTGCCAGTACAGAGCTAACCTGGGCTACACCAAAAAAATAAAAATAAAAACCAACCCTGCCCCATCCTTCCAGTTTCTTGGACTAAATAGCAGACATGGTAGTACCACCATTGGTGTGCAGGGGTACTACAGAAGACACCAATTTTGTTAGTTTGTTTGTGTTTTGAGGATACATGAGCCCTAGGAGGAAATGATATAGAGTCTGTAATAAAGGAGCCAATAGTTGGCCAGAGAATTGGGGGGGGGGCATGTGTATGTGAGAAAAGGTCTTTTTGTTGTTTGTTCCTTTCAGACAATGGCTTATGCCGTAGTCTAGCCTGATCTACAACTGACTGCCCAGTGTGGCCTTGAGCTCATCCTCCTGCCAGTAGATGAACCACCATGCCGACTTAAGTAAGGAAGAAACCTTGGGTGAAGGACCACTTCCTGGGCAAGAGCAGCTAGGAAACAAAGATATGGATGGATTTCTTGTAGCCTGTAAATAAATACCCACATGTAAGCTGTAGAGGGCAGCACTTCTCACTGATTAGTGAGTGGAGCATGGGTATGAATTAAGGATAGCCCAGTCTGCTGGTGTGTTGGGGAAGAAAGCTGTCCTAGAAAGAAAGGAAAGGAAATCTGGGTAGGTAGTAGGCGCAGAGAGGCAGGAAAAGAAGAGGGATTCTCTCTCTCTCTCTCTCTCTCTCTCTCTCTCTCTCTCTCTTTTCTCTCTCTCTCTCTTTTGTTTGGTGGTGGTGGTAGAGGGTTGGTTGGTTGGTTTTTCGATACAGGGTTTCTCTGTGTAGCTTTGGAGCCTGTCCTGAAAGTCATTCTATAAACCAGGATGGCTTTGGGATTGAAAGTATGTGTCACCACCGCCAGCTGAGGAATGCTCTCTTAAACTACATAGGATAGTCCAGTGTAGTGATGTGTGCCTTTAATCCTTGCAATTGAATATCTTTGGGAGTTTGAGGTCAGTCTGCTCTACATAGTGAATTCCAGGACAGGCAGAGCAGCATAGACCCTGTCCTAAAAACAAATAGCTTGCCAAGAAAGCATCAGAGTTGGCCATATAATTGTAGTTCATGAAATTTTATCCATCTGTATACATCACCTTGAACCTCCATGATCTCCATCTATTAAATGAAGGCACTAATTACTATTCCTTTGCAAGGGAATGCCTAAGTACTAACAGTAAGATAAATCTGATCCACATGCGCTAGGGTTTTAACTTCCAGGTCTAAGATCATGGAAGGGAAACCAGAAGGAAGCTGCATAAATGCCTAGAAACTGGAAGAAGGCTCTGTCCCTCCTCCCCAATCTGTAACCAGGACCACAAGACACACTATGATCGAATAGGTGAACGCAGTTAGTTTATTTATTTTCCTCATAATTTGTTTATTTTTATTTTGTGTGCATTGGCATTTTGCCTGTATGCATGTCTGTGTGAGGGTATCAGATCTTGAAGTTATACTATGTGCATTGTTCTGAATTCTCCTGTTTTTTATTAACTACATTTCATGATCCCACTTATATCTGCTGCTATATTAATACAGGCTCTTCCTTATATAGAAAGGTCATTTACTTAACCAGTTGCTGTTCTTAAACATTGCAGGGAGAGCTGTGTTTAACTATTATTTCAAACTAGTAAGTAGCCAGATGGTGGTGCACACCTTTAATCCCAGCACTTGGAGGCAGAGGCAAGTGAATCCCTGTGAGTTCAAGGCCAGCCTGATCTACAAAGCAAGTTCCAGGACTGGCTCCATAGCTATTGAGAAACACTATCTTGAAAAACCAAAAAAAGCCAGGTAACCAGGTGGTGGTGGCGTACACCTTGAATCCCAGCACTTGGGAGGCAGAGACAGGCAGATCTCTGTGAGTTACGAGGCCAACCTGGTCTACAGAGCGAGTTTCTGAACAGCCCGGACTGTTAAACAGAGAAACCCTATCTCAAAGCCAAAACAAAACAAACAAAAATCTATCAAACAAACTAGCAAGTAATCTTTTTATGCACTTTGTCTTACACATGTACAGATACACATCTGGACTTACTAAAGCAGTTGGATCAAGGGTCCAGCCTTTTACATTCTGACAGGTGCTCTCACATGCAGAGCCTGGACAGTCCCAAGCTTTGGTGCTCTCGCGCTCGCGCTCTCTCTCTCTCTCTCTCTCTCTCTCTCTCTCTCTCTCTCTCTTCTCTTTACCGTTACTCTTGTCCCTAGGGACCTTTGCCCCCTTTTCTGCCCCTTCCCTCTCCTCTTCCAATAAACCTCCAATGTGACTCCTTTCTGCTGTTTTTTTTAAATTGCAATATTGGTTCCCTAACCGGGAAAGGTTCTCCTGACACTTCCTCCTGCCAGCAGACAGTTTGAGGCTCGCTGGAACCCTGGAATGGGTCCACATATGACAACCATGCTTCTCTGGGATCGCTGGGTCCCTTCATTCAGCACTGGCATGATTGGTGAGTCACTCCCTCTTCCCCACCTCTGGCTATTTCCCATGAGTGAAGACTCATCTCTGAGGGTGATTTCTCGACTTTTGGTTCATTAAGCCCTGGTACCAGGCAACCACAGCTCTCTTGGGCTTAGAGTCCTAGGTCCCCCTGCACTTTGCATGACTCACTGGTCCCTTGGGTCCTTCTGACTTTGCCCTTCAGCCTCTTGCTCCTTGAGTGACAACTCTGGGCAGCTTATGCCTCTCTCTCTCTCTCTCTCAAAGATTTATTTATTTATTTATTTATTATGTATACAGTATTCTCAGTATTTCTCAGTATTCTGTCTGCATGTATGCTGCAGGCCAGAAGAGGGCACCAGACCTCATTACAGATGGTTGTGAGCCACCATGTGGTTGCTAGGACTTGAACTCAGGACCTTTGGAAGAGCAGGCAGTGCTCTTAACTACTGAGCCATCTCTCCAGCACTAAAAGCTCTTTTTCTTCTTCTTCTTCTTTTTTTTTTTTTGTTTGTTTGTTTTATGAGACAGGGTTTCTCTGTAGCTTTGGAGCCTGCCCAGGAACTAGCTCCTGTAGACCAGGCTGGTTTGGAACTCACAGAGACCCGCCTGCCTCTGCCTCCCAAGTGCTGGGATTAAAGGTGTGCGTCACCACCACCCGGCTTTTTTTTCTCTCTTGATAAGAGCCATTGGGTCTTGTTCTGCTTCACTCATGGGGAATAGGCCTACCAAAATCCGTTTTCCGGCACTTTATATCCTGATATTTTACAGGACTTTTGCAACATTCTGCCAGAACCGTGATAGATGATGAAAGAGGTATCACCCCTTCACCCTTTCCCTCTCCTGCTTTCCCTTCCCCAATAGACCTCTTACATTAACTCTGTTGCGTGCAGCATGCTTGCTTAGTGATAGTCTACCAAAATGTAATCACTACCCAGCTGCTCCACCCTCAACAGATCTGTTCTCTTCCACCTGCAACAACCTGCTTTTGCGTTCACTGGTGGCTTCGTCTTCTATTCGTCTTCTATTCAGTATTGACAACTGGGTCTCTTACACGGCTACCCACCTCTGACCACTCCCCTGGATGTGAGATTTCATTTCTCAAGCACAGTCCTCTCCTCGACTTCCGGCTTTTCTTGAAGTACTGGCACCAGGTGACTGTGTCTCTCTTGGGCTCAGAACCCTTGGCCCCTGCTCTGTGTTTGAATCGCTGAGCAACCTGTGCTGTCTCAAAATCGACCCTCTCTGAATTCCTGGGACACTAGGAATTGCAGCCCCTTGGGTCTTCTCTGCCTTGCTCATGGGAACTGTGTGGTCCTTTATACCTCCTCGCTCCCGCTGGGATGGTTTTGGAGCCCCACTGACCATTCCTAACCAGCTATTGTTGCAGGACTACCGGCTGTTGGCCATAGAGCTGGAGGTGCAAGACGACCAAACATGTCTGGGTGGTGAGAACCAGCAGCACCCCAGAGGTACTAACTCTACAATGACTGCCCTCAGCAATCAACCGCCTGTGTTTCCTGGTCGATTGGACAGAGGGAGGGTGTCTGGGTGACACTGTGCTGATGGGAAAGGATCAGGTACTTTAAGCTCTAGGTGTCGACTTGGATACACCTCAGACAACATTTTGCCAGGTCTGAGTGGAGCCTGGCGGTTCCACAGAGTCTGGACAGCGAAGCGAAACAGCCAGCGACTACTCCAGACATGGCCAGCACCCCAGCTTTCTCATGTTCCCTAAAGATGAACGACGCCCCCCAGGTCAGCAGAAAGTAGTTTTGAGAATGAGGCATCCTCATCCCTGCCTCACCTGCTCCCCCTTTCTAACAATAAACAAAAGGGAGGAGTGTTACTATTCAGGCATCTGTACTGGCCTGCCCTGGGGGTCCTGGCAGGATACGTCCTCAGCTGCAGCCACTAAGAACCACCTGTGCACCTTGCTCACCTCCCCAGCTCTTTCTGTTTCTCTCTCTCCCATTACTCTCATCCCCAGGGACCAGTCTCTCTTCCTTTCTTTGTCCTCTTCTCTGCCCCTGCTCTCTCCTCTTCGAATAAACTTGTGTGAGCCCTGTTGCAAGGTGTGGCTCCTTCCTGCTGTTGAAATTACAACAACTAACTCAGGCGTGTGATCAGTCTCTGGCACCAGGTCAGATGCTCCAAAGGCACTACCCTGAATGGTTAGCCACTGGCACCTCCAAATTTGCATAAACCTAGCCCAACTCTGCCCAGTCCCTGCTGAAGTGTTCTGAACTGCTCACTGTCCACTGTTTCCACTCAGGGACCTAGCAGCCCACTGGACAAAGTCTGGAGGATTTGAGGATAAGAACCCACAAATCCCAGATAGAGGCCTCTAGGAATGGATTGTCTCTAGTTCCAACCAAATAAGAAAGTCGTATCAAATATTTCATACAAGTTTCACACAGGGAACTGTTTACATGAGTGACAGGATCACTGAGAAGACTAAGCAGCTGCTGCCCTCTCACCCTAGGTTCTTCCCACTGAAAGTAGAGCCATAGTAAAGGAAATGTGCCTAAATGGCTCTAAGGAGATGGGGCTTTACCCTGTCTTCTGAGTGCCAGGTTTCCATCCGGCCAAGCCTGGAGAGCACCTAGCTAAGGAAGGCCACAGTGAGTTCACAACCAACCTGAGCACAGCCCAGGATGCCTGCTGTGAAGATGGGCAGAGCTGAGTTCCCACTTTGCTTGTTCTCTGAGGCCTTTATATGCCATGCAGAATTTTAGCCAGATGCCTACACCATAAGCTCCATTGCCAGGCTCTGGCATTTTGAATGCAATTGGCTCCCATAATCTCATAGGGAGTGGCACTATTAGGAGATGTGGCTTTGTTGAAAAAAGTGTGTCATGATGGGGGCTGACTTTGAGGTTTCATGTACTTGGGATACTACCCAGTCAGTTCAAATTCCAGGGCCTGCAAGATGTAGGATGCTCAGCTCCCCTAGTACCATGTCTGCCTGCATGCTGCCATGCTCCCCAACATGTTGATAAATGGACTAAACACCTGAAACTGTAAGCAAGCCACCCTCAATTAAATGTTTTCTTGATAAGAGTTGCCGTGGTCATGGTGTCCCTTCACAGCAATAGTAAACTCTAAGACACGGGCTTTTCTTGGCACTTTAACCCATCTGATTAAAAAATTATTACCAATGGTGTTGGCACATGCCTTTAATCTCAACACTTGGGAAGCAGAGGTAGGCAAATCTCTGAGGTCAAGGCTAGTTTGGCCTACAGAGTGAGTCCAGGACAGCCAGGACTATACAGAGAAATCTTGTCTTGAAAAAAAAACCAAAGATTATTAATATTATGTTTGTAGTTTTGTTTGAGATAGGCTCTCATATATAGAGACCATGCTGGTCTCAAACTCTTGCTCCTCCTGCCTTCACTTATGAACGCTGTGACTATGGTGTGTATCACTATACATTTATGTTTTGTGTGGTAGTTTGAATAAAATCGCCCCCATAGGCTCACAGAGAGTGACCTTGTTGGATAGTAGTGGCTTTGTTGGGGGTGGATATGACTTTATTGGAGTAGGTGTGTCACTAGGGGTTAGGCTATTCGATCTTAGATGCTCAAGCCTGGCCAGTGTGTCATAGTCTCTTCCTGCTGCCTTAGTATCAAGATGTAAACTCTCAGCTTCTCCAGAACCATGCCTGCCTGCACAACAATATGTTCCTGACTTGACAAAAATGAACTAAACCCCAGAACTGTAAGCCAACCCTAACTAAATGTTTTCCTTTATAAGAGTTGCTGTGGTAGCAGGGTGGCAGTGGTGCACACCCTTAATCCCAGCCCTGGGGAGGTAGAGGCAGGCAGATCTCTGTGAGTCTGAGGCCAGGCTGGTCTATAGAGTAAATTCCAGGACAGCCAGGGTTACACAGAAAAATCCTGTCTTGGGAGAAAAAAAAAAAAAAAAGAAGAGTTTCCCTGGTCATGGTGGCTGTCTATTCACAGTCATAGAAACCTAACTAAGACATTTTGTTTTCAAGATTTTTAGTTTGGGCCACCCCTTCTCTCTCTCTCTCTCTCTCTCTCTCTCTCTCTCTCTCTCTCTGTTTCTCTTTTTTTAGGCAAGGTCTAACTGTAGTCCAGGCTGTCCTAGAACTCATTAGGTAGCCCAGGTTAAACTCAAATCCATGGCAATCCTCCTGCCTCAGCCTTCTAAGTACCAGAACTACTGGCTTAAGCTACCACACCCAACAAGCCATGCTTGCTTTGTGTGAGCAGCCTGTTCATGCTGTTTGACCCAGAGACGGAGTCAACACAGCCTCCACCTTCCCCGAGTCTCCCTGAGGCAGCCCAAGAGCAGATCACCAGCTACCTTGATAGCAGCGCTATAGCAGCCCAGCCACGGGCCTGGATGGGCTTCCTGGCCTCTGACTCTTTTATTCCCCACCCAGTGGCTGTTCCAAGCCGTCCCCTTCTCTGGGCCATTCACTTCTGTCCTGTCAATTGCCAACCTCATTCTACTTGACAAGGAAGGGCAGACTTCCCTGAGATGCTCCCACTTCTGGTTTACAGAGAGCCCCAGGCAGCATTGGCTTCCCATCATGGCCTCAATGTCCCAGAGAAGCCAGAATCGTCCTCTACAACACAGTTCCTGTGGGTGGTCTCAGTCTGTCGATCACAGCCACCTGCTGTGCTAGTGTCCCCTTCCTTTCTGTCATCCTGCCAAGGAGCTAGCTTATATTTATGTTTTGGTAGCCTTGCACTTGAGATCCTCCTGCCTCCGCCACTAGAATGCTGAGATTATAGGCGTGTATAACCCCAAACTCCACCACTGTCCTTGTTGCTGGCCTGAAGGGCAGTTTGTAAATCTCTCCTCATCATTGTGCAACTCTTAGAGATGAAAGCTGCCAAGTGGGTGCTAGGAATCGAACCCTGGCCCTCTGGAAGTCAGTGCTCTTCGTCGCTGAGCCATCTCTCCGGCCTCCTTCTTCAACATTCTTTCTCTTGGTAAAACCATCTGCCTGATAGTCCCCATGTGTTGCCCTCTGCTTGGATTTCCTTTTCGTTGTTATTTTTCATTTCTCCCTCTTGGCAATACTGGGGATTGAACCTAGGGTCTTATGCATTCAAGGCAAGCATTTTTTCCACTGAACTCTAATCCCAGCTTTTCCCTCTAGGGACAGTTTCTCTGATGACAGCTGAAGGTCCTTCACAGTGGCTCCCCTTCCATCTGATGGTGTCACAGTAGCTCCTTTCTTCCTGAGCTCCAGACTCTGCGCAGCCCACCAGACATCTCCCTCCACTGTACGTTCAGCATCGGGCCCTTGAAGAGTCCAAGAATAAGAATATAGAAATGTAGATTCCATAAGTAAGAGTGTAGAAATAAAAAAATATAAAGTTGTAAGCCTAGGAGAATGAGAGCAGGCTGTCAGCAGCTTTTTCAGCAGTCTATGGATTAACTATTAACAGTGGGTTACTTTGTTTTACAACAAATAGCTCTACCTGCAAGACTGAAGTGCCCTCTGCAAACTGAGGGTCAGCTCTGCAAACAGAGTTAGCCCAAAGGTAACACCCGGCCACCTGTGATCAACAATGGACATGAATTGAGTTAACTTTTTTAGGTTTTTTCAAGATAGGGTTTCTCTGTAGTTTTGGAATCTTGAACTAGCTCTTGTAGACCAGGCTGGCCTCGAACTCACAGAGATCCACCTGCCTCTGCCTCCTGAGTACTGGGATTAAAGGTGTGCACCACCACCACCCAGCATGAGTTAACTTTTAAACGATGAGGTGTGCTTGACTTTTTGGTTGTGCATTTTCCTATACCCTTCCCTGCTCTGTGAAACTGGCAGTATCAGAGGAAGTGCATAGCTTTGATAAACACTATCAGGGAGCGCCAGGGACAAACAATGGACTAAATACAAACACTAGTTTAACTGAAAAACTCTGTTAATGGAAATTGTAGAGGACAATTTGTATCTGGGTTTTACCTCGAAGCTGTAAAAACTCTTTTGTTATTGCCTAATGCTTGTTGCTTCTTGCTATAAAAAAGGGGAGTTTGGAAACTGCCCTTTGCCACAGCCTTATGAGTCCATCTCTGGCTGTGATCTTAGCTAGCTGATAAGCTTTTTGTGTCCCATGGAGATTTGTTTTTCTTTAATTTTTTGATTTTTTTTTGCAAATGAAAACCATTATTAAGAATTTTACATGTTTCCAGGCAGTGGTGACACAGGCCTTTAATCCCAGCACTCAGGAGGCAGAGACAGCTGAATCTCTGTGAGTTCAAGGCCAGCCTGGTCTACAGAGTAAGTTCCAGGATAGCCAAGACTATACCGAGAAACCCTGTCTCAAAAAAAAAAAAAAAAAAAAAAGAGGAAGGAAAGGAAGAAAAGAAAAAAGAAAGAAAGAAAAGAAAACAATTTTACATGTGCTGGAATCTGAAGAGATTGCTCAGTGGTTAAGAACACTTGTTCTTGCAGAAGACCTGAGTTCACTTTCCAGCACCCACATGGTAGCTCATAACTGTCCTTAGCTCCAGTTACAGAGAATTTGATGCCCCTTCTGGCCTCCACAAACTCTTGCATGTGTATGATACACACACATACACTTAAACACACACACATAAAATTAAATAAATCAACATTTTAAAAAATATATTTTTTAATTTTATATGCATTGATGTTTTGCCTGCATGTGTCTGGAGGAGGGTATTGGGTCCCCTGAACTGGAGTCGCCCTGTGGGTGCTGGGAATTGAACCTACGTCCCCTGGTAGAGCAGTCAGTGCTCTTAAATGCTGAACTAACTCTCCAGTCCCTTTAAAAATGTTTTACAAGTGGAAGTTGTCTCAATGCCAACTGTTTAAATATCACTGTTGTCATTAGCATTCTGGGGGAACTTAAATATTGCTTTAGGAATTACTTATTTGTATTTTCAAAACTTTATCACTCTCTATGAGACTAAATATATATTGACTTGTTTTGAAATAGGGCTGCCCAGGTTATCCACGAATTCAAATCCCCTTGCCTCCTGAGTAGCTGGAATTACAAGTGTGTGCCAGTGCACCAGGCTAGACCTAAAGATTTAGACAGGGGGGATCACTGTAAGTTCAAGGTTAGTCCGGTCTATTTAGGGAGTTCCAGGCCAACTGCAGCTACATAGTTCTACAGTCTAAAATTAAGAAATTAGGCAGACATCCTTTAGATATGCTGTCTCTGAGCCATTATCAATATGTTAATGCATTTCAATCATTATGGTGCCATAAAACACTGTACTTAACTATAACATATTCTCATATGTGTATATGTGTGTGAGTGGGTGCACATGTGTATGCTTGTGGGGGGTGGTGGTGCATGACTGCATTCAGAGTCAGCAGATAACCAAACACGCCGTCGTCAGGAATGCCTCTCATCTCTTTTAAGACGGCATCTCTCACTGGCCTTGAGCTCACCGACAGAGCTAGGCCGAGAGGCCGGTGAGCACCAGGCTCCTGCCTTGGCTTCCCACTTTATATGGTTAGAAGCCTGTCCCACCACACTCAGCGTTGTCCCGTGTGTTTTGGGGACTGAACTCAGGTTCATAAGTTCATAACTTCAGGTTTATAAGTTAAGTGCCATGCATGTACAGCACGCTTATAAGATAAGTGTTTTACTGACCGAGCCATTCCCCCACCTGCAGAATTATAATTTTAATTACTTGTTATTGGTGTGTATATGCATGATATGCATGCATGATGTGTGTGTGCATACGTGTTCTTGTATACCAACGAGGAGGTCAGAGGACAACTTTGTGGAGTCACCTTTACAGGGGTTCTGGAGCTTGAACTCAGGTCCCAGGCTTGGTGGCAAGCACCTTTACCCACTAAGTCATCTCACCTGTCCCATATTTTACTTCTTTGGAACGGGGTTTCACTATGTAGCCCTGGCTAGCCTGGAACTCACTATGTAGACCAGGCTGGCCTCAAACTCACAGAGATCCACTTACCTCGGACCTCTCAAAATCTGGGATTAAAAGTGTTTACCACCACATCTGGTCATGTGGCTTTACTTTGTTCCCTTTTTCCATCTTTGTGACTATACTTTTGATATTCCCATTGCTGACATAGATCACTAACGGTGGCTATGGCCTCAGTTTCTCCTCTGTAACGTTCTTTTGCTTTATAACATTTACTTCTCTGTGGGGCAGTTGAGACTGTATTACTAACTGTGTCTCATCAAGTTTTCAAATTTTTCGTTAAAAAAAGGAAGAGGAGGAAGGAGGAAACGTTGGGTCATTTGGCAACTTTCCCCTTTAACCCATAATTCCCTTACTGCCGGTCAGTGCAATAGCTCCAGAGGACCAGCAGGTGTCAGTACCGAAACACATGACCTGTGTCTTGGGTTTATGATTCTCGGCGCAGATCTCACCCTTTCAAGATTTCCTGTCACTGGCACTACTGAGACATGAGGTCATCCTTTCTTTGTGCCCCAGGTTCCATCTTCCCAGGGGCTCCCTGACCACACTGTCTCTAGCCGCTCTGTCCCACAAGTGAAAGACAAAACCCTACGTAATGGGGTGGAGCGGTCCACACAAGAAAAAGGACAATTCCTCATCCATGGGGAAGACAAGATCTAACTTGGCAGGGAGGAGACTGAGACCTGGGTGGGAGTGGAACTTTCCAACGGAAAGACGAATGAGACTTGGTGGGTGGGCAGCAGGCTGAACTCTAAGTGGTGGTTATTGTGGAAAACAGTCAGAGGCCAAGTGGTCAAGAGCTGAGAGCTGCTGGCCCACACGGGTCTCTCCTGTACTTCCTCGGAGTGGTCATTTTCGAGGGATGGGTGGGGACTAGTTCCACTTTTCAGAGAAAGGCAGAAGTCCCTGAGATGGTTCGTTGTGTTAAGGTGCTTGTCACCTAGCATGACAACCGGAGGCTGATTCTTGGACTCCACACAGGAAAGAACGAACTCCCACAGTTGTCTCTGACCCTCTCTGTGTGAAGCGGCAGGCATGTGCTCACCAACCCCCAAATAAATGTTAGAGGGGGAGGAGAGTTTCCTGCCTCCAGGTTCCTGCTTTGGTTTTACACCTTGACTTCCCTCCATGACAGACCGTAACATGTAAGCCAGATAGACCCTTTCCTTCCCAAAACTGCTGTGTTTTATCACAGCACTAGAAAGCAAACAAGACAGTTTCCCAGCCATGTGATTGTGGTGGTTTGAATGGAAAACGTACCCCATAGGTTCAGGCATTTGAACACTTGGTCCCTAGATGGTGACAGTTTGGGGAGGTTGAGGAGGTGTGATCTTACTGAAAGACATTTGCAGAGGCAGGGTAGGCTTTAAGAGTAAAAGTCTTGGGGGCTGGAGAGGTGGCTCAAAGGTTAAAAGCACTGGCTGCTCTTCCAGAGGTCCTGAGTTCAATTCCTAGCAATCACGTGGTGGCTCACAACCCTTTCTAGTGAGATCTGGTGCCCTCTTCTGGCGTGCAGGCACACATGCAGGCAGAGCACTGTATACATAATAATAAATTTTTTTTGTTTTTGTTTGTTTTTTGGTTTTCAGGACAGGGTGTCTCTGTGTAACAGTCCTGGCTGTCCTGGGACAATAAATAAACCTTTAAAGAGAGAAAAAGTAAAAATCCTTGGCGACTTGTTTACTCTCTCTGTTCTGTGTTTAGGTTAAAATGGGAGCTTTCAGTCTTCTCCCGGTGCCGGGCCTGCCGCTCGCTGCCTTGCCTTCCCACCACGGAGGACTCTTACACCTGGAGCTGTAAGCCCCGAATAAAGCCTTCCGTAAGTTGCCTTGGCCACGGTGGTTCCATCACAGCAGCAGAGGAGCAGCTGTTGGAGCACAGACCTAGAATGGAGTCACGTGAGAAGAATCCAGCGTGCGCGTGAGAAAACAAGACGAAAGTCTTGGGGCCTCCGTTTCTTCAGAACACGGAATTGTTCTTGGGATGTGCACTTGTGCTCCGGAACAGCAGATAGGCCTGCGGTTACTTCAGATTGTTCACTACGACTGGCTAGTGTCGCTATGGAAACCCAGGCCTTTGCAGCTGTGGCTTGCCCACCACACGCTGTTTGTCCTTGTGAATGGATGCTTTACCCAGGAGACTCTTAACTCTCGGGGTATAAACTGTCTGAATAGAGACGGCTATCACATGAGACTTTAGTTCAGCTCATTTATTGGCTCCGTTCTCCCAGGTCCCGCTACTGCTAGAGAGGTGAACGGGAACTAGTACAGCGACCTTGGAAAGTTGTTAACTTCTCTGAAACTCAGCCTATGTTTGTCTGTAAAAGGCAAAGAACAGAATCTACCTTGCAGAATTCCTGTGGAAATTAATGGCATACAAAGTCTCTCTCTCTCTCTCTCACACACACACACACACACACACACACCTTCCAATCCCAATATTTGGGAGACTGAAGCTCTCTGATTCTGGTGTTAATAAAGAGAGACCCTACCTGTCTCAATAAAACAACAGGGTACAGAACATGCCTTTAATCCCAGCACTCAGGAGGCAGAGGCAGGAAGATTGCTTGTGAGGTCCAGGTTAGCCTGATCTACATAGTAAGTTATAGGCCAGTCAGAACTACATAGAGACCTTCTTTCAAAAACAAACAGAAGGGGACTCGAGAGATGGCTCAGCATTTCAGAGCACTGACTGCTCTTCCTAGAGGTCCTGTGAATTCCCAGCAACCACATAGTGGCTCACAATCACCTATAATGAGATCTGGTGCCCTCTTCTGGCCTACAGGCAGGATACTGCATAAATAAATAAATCTTAAAACAAACAAACAAACAAAAAAACAGAAAAGTAAATGTTAAGAAAAAGATTACTGGTTTCGTCCCAATATCTTTTTTCTGTTTTTAGAGAAAAATTTTAATGACATCATCTGTGTGTGTGTGTGTAACATGAGGGGGCTGGCTTGTTGGGGTTTCTGTCCTGCCCAGTACCCCAACAGTCGGCAAATCCCAAAGAGAAATTACACACAGGACTCCATAAGGTTATAAACTGATTGGTCCATTAGGTCAGGCTTCTTGTTAACTCTTATAACATATATTACCCCATTATCCTTATCTATGTTAGCCACATGGGCTCGGTACCTTTCTCGGTGTGACAGCTTACATGTTGCCTCTTCAGTGGTCTGTACAGGAATGGCTGAGAGAGAGCTTCTGCTTCCAGAATACTCCAAGTCTCTTTGCTCCACCCCTACTTCCTGTCTGGCTTTCCCGCCTATACTGCCTGCCTGGCCAATCAGCGTTTTATTAAAATATGATTGACAGAATACAGATAATTCTCCCGCACCATGTGTGTGTGTGTGTGTCTGTCTGTCTGTCTGTCTGTCTGTCTGTGAGTGTCTGTGTATCTGTGTGTTTTCAAACAGGAAAGTGCACATTCATGCAGACTCCATAGCTCTCATGTGGAGGTCAGATGACAACTTTTGGTCACTGCATTAGTTATTTCTCTGCTGCCATGGCCAAGGCAACTTACAGAGGCTTTATTTGGGGATTACGATTTGGTTCCAGGAATGAGAGTCCTCCGCACTCCATGGGGGTTAGGCATGGCAGCAAGCGGCAGGCCCAGCACCGGGAGAAGAAGACTGAAAGCTCCCATCTTTTTTTTTTAAACACAAATACAGAAGGAAAAAGCTCCCATCTTTAACCTAAGCACAGAGCAGAGAAAGCTGCAGAGAGGCAAGTCAGTTCTCTCCTTCTACCTTGTGAGTTCCAGATCAAACTTCAGCCATCATTGTACTCAAGGACAGGCGGCAAGGGCCTTTCGCTGCTGAGCTATCTCCCTGACTCCTTTTTCTCCAGTTTCTGAAGCATCTACAGTAAGCTGCTGATTGGTTCTGTTTTGTTCCTTTGAGTCTTACTCTGTAGCCCAGGTACTCACTGCCTCATCATTCTGATTGCTGAGATTACAGGCGAGTGGACATTTGCCATCGTACTGAACCTTACGGCAGGTCTGTATTTAATAATTAAACTAGTTTTTTTTTTTAAGATTTATTCTTTTAAAGATTTATTTATTTAATTATGTATACAACATTCTGCTTCCATGTATGCCCACACGTCAGAAGAGGGTGCCAGATCTCATTACAGACGGCTGTGAGCCACCATGTGGTTGCTGGAAATTGAACTCAGGACCTCTGGAAAAGCAGCCAGTGCTCTTAACCATTGAGCCACCTCTCTGGCACCTAAAGATTTATTTTTATATGAATGTCTCTGTGAGTACACACGTGTGTGCACAGGTATCCTCAGACCCCCTGGAAGTTATGGGTAGGTGTGAGCCACCCAGTGAGGGTGCAGGGACCTGAACTTGAGCCCTCTGCAGGTGCTCAAGCCATCTTGACTGCTAAGCCATCTCTCCAGCCCCACCAGCTAGTTTTGTTTGGTGGTTTTATATTTGTTATTGTTTTGTATGAGACAGTCTTACCCTGTAGCCCTAGACTGTTGCAAGACCTACAGTGACCCTCCTGCCTCAACCTCCTGAGTGGTGGAATTATAGGTATCTTAGTCACTGTTCTATCGCGGTGAAGAGACACTATGACCTTGGCAACTCTTATAAGAGAAAGCATTTAATTGGAGGCTTGCTGTGCTTTGAGTAGGTATGGCCCATTGCAGACTCCTGTGTTTGAATGCTTGACCCACAGGAAGTGGCCCTATTAGGAAATATGGCCATACTGGAGTAGGTGTGGCCTTGTTGGAGGAAGTGGGTCACTGGAGATGGGTTTTGAGGTCTCAGAAGCTCAAGTCTGGCCAGTGTGTATAAGTCTTCCTTCTGCTGCCTGCAGATCCAGATGCAGGACTCGCAGCTCCTTCTCCAGCACCATGTCTGCCTGCACGCTGCCATGCTTCCAGCTATGATGATAGGGACCAAACCTCTGAACTGTAAGCCAGCCCCAGTTAAATGCTTTCCTTTATAAGAGTTGTCGCGGCCATGGAATCTCTCTACAGCAATAGAAACCCTAACTAAGATGCTTGCTTACAGTTTTGTGGGCTTAATCCTTTATCACTTGCTGGGAAGAATGGCAGCAGGCATGGCAGGTTTGGTGCTGAAGAAGCAGTTGAGAACTACATCCTGATCCATAATAGGCAGGGGGCTGAGACTTACCGGACCTGGCTTGCGCTTTTGGAACCTCAAAGTCCACCCCCAGTGACACACCTACTCCGACAAGGCCACACCTCCTAATCCTTTCAAACAGTTTCACCCCCTGATGGCTAAGCATTCAAACTAGGAGCCTTTGGGAGCCATTCTTATTCAAACCACCAAAAGAGGGGTGAGCCTCTTTGGGTTCCAGAGCTCTCTGAGACCATGCTGGCAGCCACGGGCCATTTCCCTGGAAGGGTACTCAGCTACTCTCTCACACACTAACCCCTGTTGTGCCTTCCCTGGGGCTGTCTGACGCCAAAGCTCCTCCCACTGCTGCCTGTCAGTAGGCCAGCCACACCCAGTTAAAAGCCAGCAAGATTTCAAAACACGTGCCTGCATAAATCCAAAATGGAATTACCAAAGTTGAAGCCCAGAGGGCAGTGAAACTGTACAAAACCAACCCTGTGCAGAGAGGATTCATCACTCAGCTGGGACAGGTCCGTCACCCTTAGAGACAGGCCTTACTAGACGACTAAATATTCAATTCCTCCAGGCTCTTTTGTTCACAGTCCAGGCTCAGAAGTGCCTTTTGGAGCTGGAGAGAGGACTCAGTGGTTAAGGTTTAGCTACTCTTTCCAAGGATCTGGGTTCAAGTCCCGGCACTGAGAGGGCAGTTCACAATCATAGGTAACTCCAGACCCAAGGCCTTTGAGGATACCAAGCATTCCAGGCACACCCACAGTGTACAGACATACAGACAGACAGGATACCCATAGATGTCTAAAACAAAAACAAATGTTTTTCAGATACCTTTTAGGAAAACATGACTTTTTTCTTTAGGGCAGAGGTTTCTAAGTCTGAACAGCTCAGAGCCAGAAATTACAGTTGGAAGCATAGACAAATCTCACTATATATGTGATGTGAGGTGTAAAAATCACATGACTAATGGCAGATGTTTGGGTGGAAGTCCAGTCTCAGCTCTCTAAACCTTGCCCAAGAACAAGCCAACAGGGTATTTAAGACTCGGTCTCTAGACCTGACATATGGTTTCTTTTTGCCCCCCCCCCCCCGACGACCCGGGAGTTGCTTTGCTCAGGTTAAACCTAGTCTTAATTATTCAGCCTGATCTGATTTATTGCACCTGCAGAGAGACTGAATATCAGTATGGAAAACCTTTCAGCAGAGTCTACTTCATATCTATGCTGAAAAAAAAAACCCTGAAAACAAAATTAACTGTTCAGTCCCATTTATTTTTTTCTCAGATTTGAAATCTGAGACCTGACATCCCTTCTTTATGCCTACATATGTCAAGTAATGTCAGGCTGTGGTAACATACAGTAGAATGATGCGGGATTCCCCTCTGTATGCTATGAATATATTTTATTACCATTGGTTATTAAAGAAGCTTTTTTGGCCAATGGCTTAGTAGAGTAAAAGCCAGGTGGGAAATCTGAACAGAGATACAGAGAGAAAGTAGGTGGAATCAGGGAGACGCCATGTAGCTGCTGAAGGAGAAAGTCTCCAGCCACCTGCCTGAACCTTACCGGTAGGCCACAGCCTTGTGGTGGTTCACAGATTAATAGAAATGGGTTAATTTAAGATGTAAGAGGTAGCTAGAAATATGCATAAGCTGTTGATCAAACAGTGTTACAATTAATATAGTTTGTGTGATTAGTTGTGTCTAAGTGGCTGGGAAACAAACGAGCAGCCTTGTCTACAATAGAGTATTTACCCCCAAATCCCTGAATCAGGAGCAACCTTTAATCCGAATGCAGTCCATGACAGATTGTTTATAAAGGTTTGAATGGATTAAGCCACATTACACCCATTTTGTTCACAGCAAAAATATTAACAGATACTTGTTTTTTTCCGTAATAACTTTACTGGCTTTAAAATGTTTTCTGTCTTATCTACGTTAGACTGTAAAACAGCAAGATAGAGAAAAAGCTATAATCACTGGGTGGCTGCATAATCTTCGACATAATTAAAATCGCTTAAACTAAAGGGGGAAATGTGGTAGGAAATCTACTAGAGTCACTGTATCTAGGGTAAACCTCAGAATGAGTA